ACGAGAGACTTTTATATACACGAAGACAGACAAAGGGATACACACAACATAAACTCACAAAGATATACACGCGCTCACGGTCCTACGCGAAGGGAGTTAATGTTCTTGTTCGTTCACTCACATTCTACTCTTGGGGCGTGAACGTTGCGCTTCACCTTGAGCTCTCTGGTAGTCAGGAGGCGGTGTGCCTTGTGCTTGCGGAGTTCGTACCGAGGCGGGGCCCGGTCTAGAAGATAACCGCCAGGGGCATCCCAGTACGGTGGTCAACGCCTGGGCTTGCCTGTACACCACCGAGAACAGCGTGTCGCCGACTGCCGCGAACAGACCTGGGACAGCGTCTCGCTCCGAGACCAGAACAGCAGCTGGCCGTGACGAACGCCGCTTCAGACCAACGTGGGTGGCGAGGTGGGGCGACGCCCAGTCCAGGACGCACCCGAGGACTTCAACGCCGAGACGAGGCCCGGGACACGGAGGGTCAGAACGAGCAGCCGGGGCGTGGCCCGAACTTGTCCTTGCTCTCTGCTCTCTGGGGTGAGATGGGGCGACGCCCAGTCCAGGAGGCACCCGAGGACTTCAACGCCGAAACGAGGCCCGGACACGGAGGGTCAGAACGAGCAGCCGGGGCGTGGCCCGAACCTTTCCTTGCGCTCTGCTCTCTGGGGTTAGCCGAGCTGTCCCCGTGGCTCGGGAGCTTTTCACGTGGTACGCGCACGAGCACGCGCATAGGCGCGCTCATGGTTTTACCGCTATCACCATCATGATGATTCCCGCGCACCTTGAAATACTAAATCGGCCCCGCACACCGATTTTCTACTTAAAGAACCCCGGGTGGTCTAAATTTCCGGAGCCCTCCACTACGGCGTCTCTCATAATCATATAGTTGTTTTGGGACGTTAAACCCCACATATCAATCATATCAATCACCGATTTTCTACGTCAAAGCATGACGCACACTCTCCAGGGCAGCGTTTTTTTACCACATCTTCCCCCCAGTTCAAGAACAGTGAAACGGTGGGGTAAAAAGGGTAGGCATGTTCATAGAGTAGACTGGAATGTCCAAGTGTCTCGCCGGCACCATACGGCACTGTAATATACACTCAAAGATTTACCGGCATAAAAACGCACTTTGGCAGCGGTATTCTTTATCATCGCCCATCCACATCAACGGATCACAGTGAGAAAAATAAATAATAATATAAAAGGCAAAAATATGTGACAAGATTGTGCCACACCTAAAAGAATCTGTACACTTTTCAAGTGTAACTCGACTTCATGTGCCTTGAAATAACATTTCAGCTCTTAGGGTGCCATATTAAAAGCGTACAGCTGGTTTCACTTAGCTGACAATTATTCTCGGTGACTGTGGTTGTTCGTGGACCCAGGAACTCGGACGCGCAGAGCCGTGACCGTGAACACAGAAAATACATTATCAAGTAAGACGGAGCACAACTGAAAGACATAGACAACTGACACAATACGCATAAACTGAACACATTCAACGATGATAATGTTTTGTCTTTGACAATGTACCAAGGGCGTCTACACGGAATTCATGGCACCGCACGCTCGTGACCCGATTCCTAGGCCAACGACCACTCACTCATGCCGTTGCGGCGAACACAGGCACCGGGCAGCGCGATGAATTCGTCGAGTCAAGCTTGGAAGCATCGACGCCCAGTAAGTCGGGCAAACATTATGTCAGCGCGGGGAATTGGTTCCGCATGCAGTTCGAAGTCCATTGTCGTGTCGCAGTTCAGTTCAAAATCAGTCAACCAGGTTTGTATTCTTTCTCCTTTTCTTCCATGTACTAGCGCAGAACCAGAGCTCTTTCTTTCTATGTGCTTCTGTGTACCGCGGTGGCTTCTCGATGTTCATATAGATGGAGCAGTAATCAATCCAAACAATTGGGTCCGAGCGCCAAGCTACGCAGTCCAAAGCACGCCACATCATTCGGTTGTCTCGAAGTTCGTGTGCCTCCACATGGCACGAAATACAATGTTTTGGGCCCACAGCGTTCCTAGCTCCACTACTACTCTGGCAGTTCCGGCCCCTCTTGCTCGAATTATGGTCATCTTCTGGCTCTATTTTAGGGTTTGTCATTGCAGCTCGCTTTTCGTTGGGCTCCGAAGCAAGAGTCTCAAATACGCATGACATGCTCTTTCTTTGGCCGAGAGGTTTCATCTGACGACTGCAGAAACCACGCTGCTCCATACTTCTGTCACCTTCAATGCCATCACATGTCTGCTTAACACATTCACTAGCAGACCGTGTACCCAGAGCTACATCACCACGTTCTCCAACACACACTTTTTTGGGTGTACCTGACAGATTTGTGTCAACATCGTGAATAACTATGTCATCCTTGCGAGGATTGACTTGGTCCTCTTCATTAACCTCCTTAAGCGCTACCCTATTTGCAATCTCTCGGATTTCCAAGATAGCTGTGCTGATCTCAGACAACAGCTTCTCTCCTTCCTGTCGCAAACGCACACGCTCATTGTCATTTTTGCACATGTACCGCAGTTCGAAATCAATTCTCTCTTGTTCCTCATCGAGGTCTTCTTGCAACATTCGCTCCAAGTCGGCGCAAGACCACCCGACCTCCTCTCCAATACAAAGCAGTCTTTGCACGTTTACAGGCATCCTGTGTGCGACCAATTCTCGCCTGAAAGATGTTGAGCGCCGATCCTGGCAAGGCCCATGTCCGTTCCGATCGCGTGCAATTTCTCTAAATCCATCGGTTCGTCCCGCCCGTCTGGCTCTCGGCAAGAAGGTAAGGCCGATCTATCCTGGCAGTCTCGCCAAAATTTGTGGGCAACTGTGGGCGTAGGTTAGCCAGATGAGGACAGATGACGTTCGTGGACGACGAGAGACTTTTATATACACGAAGATGGACAAAGGGATACACACAACATAAACTCACACAGATATACACGCGCTCACGGTCCTACGCGAAGGGAGTTAATGTTCTTGTTCGTTCACTCCCATTCTACTCTTGGGGCGTGAACGTTGCGCTTCACCTTGAGCTCTCTGGTAGTCAGGAGGCGGTGTGCCTTGTGCTTGCGTAGTTCGTACCGAGGCGGGGCCCGGTCTAGAAGATAACCGCCAGGGGCATCCCAGTACGGTGGTCAACGCCTGGGCTTGCCTGTACACCGCCGAGAACAGCGTGTCGCCGACTGCCGCGAACAGACCTGGGACAGCGTCTCGCTCCGAGACCAGAACAGCAGCTGGCCGTGACGAACGCCGCTTCAGACCAACGTGCGTGGCGAGGTGGGGCGACGCCCAGTCCAGGACGCACCCGAGGACTTCAACGCCGAGACGAGGCCCGGGACACGGAGGGTCAGAACGAGCAGCCGGGGCGTGGCCCGAACTTGTCCTAGCTCTCTGCTCTCTGGGGTGAGGTGGGGCGATGCCCAGTCCAGGAGGCACCCGAGGACTTCAACGCCGGGACAAGGCCCGGACACGGAGGGTCAGAACGAGCAGCCGGGGCGTGGCCCGAACCTTTCCTTGCGCTCTGCTCTCTGGGGTTAGCCGAGCTGTCCCCGTGGCTCGGGAGCTTTTCACGTGGTACGCGCACGAGCACGCGCATAGGCGCGCTCATAGTTTTACCGCTATCACCATCATGATGATTCCCGCGCACCTTGAAATACTAAATCGGCCCCGCACACCGATTTTCTACGTCAAAGCATGACGCACACTCTCCAGGGCAGCGTTTTTTTACCACACCATCGCAAGAGCAGGAAGACCATACAATGTAAATCATGACATTCATGGCATTCATGTCATCATTTTCGTGATATGACTAGTCACTTATGCTCGCCTTACAGTCATGCTGCGCCATTCCAATTATGGCGTCGATACCATCAACGAAACGGCCAGGAAAGCTGAAAGTCGTAGATAGATAGATAGATAGACAGATAGATAGATAGACGGATAGATAGATAGATAGATAGATAGATAGATAGATAGATAGATAGATAGATAGATAGATAGATAGATAGATAGATAGATAGATAGATAGATAGATAGATAGATACGCTCAAAGTCCCCGAAAAAGGCTGATAAATGTTTCGCATTTAAACGTTATTTCGGCAGCTTCGTGCTAGAAATGAAGAGCAATATAATATATGCTATCGCCCATTGTGGCTACCAAAGGCCTGCATTTGGAAAAAGGGGTGAGGGAAAGGAGAGGAGAGAGTAACAATGCCTCTCCTCTTAGATGACCTCCTTCTTCTGCAACATTTGGGTGCGTGACGATGTCTTTAATTGTGATTATACCGGTTAAACTAATTTTGCGGGTTTCAATGAAACTGATCTCAAGACCCACTTTTATTGTCTCACGCGTCCCCCAGGTCATTTCTAATGTGACACTAACGAGAAAGACGATTTTTTGTATGATTAAACGACTCTTTCACAAAACCAAGATCATTACCTTTCTGCGAGAAGGGGCTTGGTAAGCGAGATAACGTCCAAAGAAGAAAATGCGGTGGCTAGGGATGACTTTTCAAGTTTGGTAGACCAATCTCCCTCTGATGTCATTGACGACGTGTACTATCACTCTGCCCTTCGGAGGGCGCAGTTTAACTGCTGTTGATGGTGACTAGCATTTATGTGTTTCCTAATCAGCGAACATAAAAAAATGTCCTATAGTGGACCAAGAGACTTAGCATACCAAGTTTCAAGAAACATCGATCAGCCAATGTCACAAAAAAAAAATCTAGAAGTTTGTGACAACACGTCTGAGATATTTCGGCACGGAACGTAGAGATGTTACTTTGGCCGTGATTTTCTCTTCTATTATGGAGGCTCTGATAGTAGAACTAACGTTATTAGAATTCTGAGCGAACAGCTTAGCGATGTAAATTTAGCTTGTAAGATGTAAACTTAGTGATGTAAGCTTAGCGATGTAAGCTTAGCGATGTAAGAAAAAACAATTGTTCCACTATAGCATTCCTTTAACACCTTACGCTCCTCGTTCTTGCACTGGCTCGCGACTCAAGACTCGCCGCGCTGCGAGCGAATTTGGTCCACGACGCTGGATGGCGGCAACGAGACCCTGGTTCACTGCCGCGTCCGGGCGCAACCCGCTGACCAGCTGAGCTTCACGTGGAGCGTCCAGGACGCCTTGGGCGAGCATTCCGTGGCGCAGCGCGGTGCTGTGACGTCTACGAATGGCTCCTTGAGCGTGCTCAGGATGCCTCAGCAGCGTTCTTTCGCGTCGTCGTCCCCTGATGGCGCAGACGCGACGCTTTACTGCCGAGCCCGCAACACCGTCGGCCTGCAGAGCAGTCCCTGCGTCCTGGCCGTCGACATGGTGGGTGAGTGACCATGCTTCGTTGTATACCGGTTGCGCAACTCCTCTCCTGTGCTTCTTTTCACTTCCCATTTTTCCTTCTAAGTGACTCTACAAACGCTGAGCCACTCTCCTTTCTAGAACCGCAGAAGTATTCGGATCCCGGCTGCGGCGGCTGCATTTCCGATGGAGGCGGAAATGTTGTAGGCCCGTGTACTCAGATTTGGGTGCACGTTAAAGAACCCCAGGTGGTCTAATTTCCGGAGCCCTCCACTACGGCGTCTCTCATAATCATATGGTGGTTTTGGGACGTTAAACCCCACATATCAATCAACCGCAGAAGTAGCATATTTTCTTTCTATTAATCTTTTCTTCTCCTTTTCTTAGCGTTGGCAGATTGAGTGGCACACATTTTTAGAAGAATTCGCAAACAAGGGATTGTCGTTGGAGCCAACGTTTCGATAAGCGGACTTGTGTTTTTCAAGGCGACGGTTGCAGCCTTGAAAAAAAAAAAAAAAAAACAAGTCCACTTGTCGGAGCGTCAGCTATAGCAATACCCGTGATCACAAGATTTCGTCTGTGAACTTTGCACGTATTTCTAAAACAGCAAAAACTTGCCTACTCTCCTCTTTTGTCTTTGGGGGGTGGGGAGGGAGAAAAAGAAACTGATAAGGAGAGAGAGATATGTAAACTGCGGTTATTCATGAAAAAAAGGCAATAGGAGAGGTAAAAACTGATTGATTTGTGGGGTTTAACGTCCCAAAACCACTATATGATTATGAGAGACGCCGTAGTGGAGGGCTCCGGAAATTTCGACCACCTGGGGTTCTTTAACGTGCACCCAAATCTGAGTACACGGGCCTACAACATTTCCGCCTCCATCGGAAATGCAGCCGCCGCAGCCGGGAATCGAACCCGCGACCTGCGGGTCAGCAGCCGAGTGCCTTAGCCACTAGACCACCGCGGCGGGGCGAGAGGTAAAAACTGTAGAGGGGAAAGGGGTGAAATTTTTGTTTGTTCCAACCTTTTGTTTTCTTGTTTGCTGTCCGTGATTCTTGTTTTTTGTTAGTTGAACTTCTGGTTGGATCGGGTCTTCCTCAGCGCTTCCAGAAAAAAAAGGTTAGTACCATAGTCACAGTGGGGCTTCAACCAGGGTCCCCTACGTGCCAGCCCAGTATTCTACCACTGAGCCTCGCCGGTGCTTGGATGTTGTTCGCAAACTCGCCTTAGGCAGGCTTGATGTCAGGAAAGGAATCACGTTAATGTGAGTAATAAAGCGTTTTAGAAGAGCAAAAGAACAACTAGGCGTCACACAATGCGAATAGCGTAACGAGTGGGTCGTCCAATGCTCCAACACACTGCAAAATCTTGTTTTTCACCTATTATCTGTGGCACATACCCACTTCAGGCATAATTCTTCATGGTCGTCAGCCCCTGCATGAACAATTGGCACAAGCTTCATTGCAAGTGTTTAGCGGATACAACGCTTCTCAGAAGAATGACGAAAAATAGCATAGCGAATGCTGGTTTACTACCCAGAAATTACTAATAATAATGCCGTAGTGGGTACCCTTCAAGTGGGCTTAAAAAATGAGTGCTTAAAAAAGGCTCTGGGCTGCTCTTCCAGCTTTCGCTGCGACTGTGCTGTGCCTTGCACGCAGGCCTGGTGTTTTTTTTATGTTACTTGTGTTATTTAATTTTATTTTTGGGATTTGTGTTACTTTTATTTGTGTTTGTTATTTTATGACACCGCTTCCCCAGGCACAAAACCAGAAGTGACGTAAAAAACTCATGTGACTTCCTCTGCAATCTCTTCATTCCACCGCTGGTGGTGGAGTACGAAAAAACTGCGCCGGAATAGTGCTCCTCCTGGACCAATGGAACACAGCGCCCCTGCTCCTGCCCGACCACTGGAGGGCGCCGCACTTCGTGGGAGCACTTTGAGTGCAGTTAGAAGTACTCCTGCTCGCCCACCCAAATCTGAGCACACGGGGCTACGACATTTTCGACTCCACCGAAAATGCAGCCGCCACAGATGAAATTTGATCCCACGAGCTGCGGGTTAGCAGCCTAGTGCCTTAGCCACTAGACCACAGTGGCAGGGTCTATTCATTTATTTTGTAGTGGGGAATTCGCAAGGCACTTGCAATTTATTTATTTATTTATTTATTTATTTACTTATTCGTTCATTTATTTATTTGGGCATTTTCACAAAAAGCCCATTAAGAGAGGATAAAGAGAGAGTGTCTTCTGACTTTGCCCACTCTTCGTGAGGCACCTCTAAAAGGTACAGGAAAACATTACATAGAAATATTCAACAACATATGAACAAAAACCGTCGTCAATACTGGATACCACAATACTTCGGCGCAAGCCTTTCGCAGCGATCAAAGCTCCCTGTCGCTTCAAGCTGTATCTAGAAGTTTTTCCTCTGTCAAGGAATGTAAATTAAATTTCAGCAGCTCATCGCAAGAAGTGGGCGGTGAAATAGACCGCATTATTATCTTCGTGCATTGTACGAGCGAGAAGAGATGGAGATAACAGGATTTTACAGCTAATCTGTGAGAGGCTAATTATGCGATGGGGTTTGTGTACCTATTGATTGCGCCCTGCGCTATCGTAATATGCGCTGCTAAAAAAATAAAACTATTACTTCATGCTTGATATTTTTGTGGCGCAGGCGTAAACACTATAGTCACAAAAATAGTCTTCTTTAAGTATTAGTCAGCCTTTAAACATAATGATTTTCGAATAAAAAATAATTATGCGTAAGGGCATAACATCGAAAAAAACACAGGGGGGGGGGGGACGTCCTGAGGCTGAATATAAGGTACTAGGTTATGGTGGCCATAATGTGGAGGGAAAAGCAAATTTTACGAACGTGCATACAAAAATGCAAAATAAGTGCTTATTATCATTAACCATTTACTGACTAGTATCGCGAATGATTCAACATACTGAAAAACTTTGAGCAAGAAAGTCATGAAATGCGGGCCGCCTTTGACGCCGGCTGTTGATTACTCACGGAAACATAGCATAATTCAGGCATTAAAGGGTTAAGCCCTGAACAACATTATGGGAACCAGACGGGAATATAATTTCCTGCTGCCGGAAGCAGAAAGAACAAACTACACTCGCATCTGTCCTCAGGTAGCTCGTTAGTTCTGGCTTATCTTATGCAAAGAAAGTTAAAGTTGAGTCAATTCGCGTTGTACATGTGCGTTCCTCTCTTCTTGCAATTTTTGCTGCTTGATATTACTTGCGAAACGAGAGTTCATGAAATGTCTGAAAAAAAAAAAGATCATGTAATATTTTTCGCACTTTGCATAAGCTTGTCTTTCAGTTTTGCACCCGTCAATTTGTAAATGGTATAGGGGCGCTCAGGGTTCGTCATCAGGGCCTGTACACGAAATTTATGCAGCTTTCTTGTACTGCACCCTAGAAGGATGAGTTATTACCTGCCGGAAAACCGTGATTCTTTCCGCTCTTCCTACGCCCAAAGAATAAAAAAGACGCGATTTCTTTAGAAAGAGAGCTAACTTAAATCTTTAAAAATAGTGGTATATGTGGAAACTTGATCGGGGCTGGACAAAGAGAGCAAAAGGTCATCTTTTTTTTTCGCAGAGCGGAAGGCATTTAAAAAAAAAAGCTATAGAAATGGGACTGACGCAGCTTCATAGAGTCTAGTACCGATAACGGTTCATTGAAATTTGGGCGACGTTTCAAAGCATGCTTTTATTGAAGAGCTTTGTCGTTAAGTATCCAGTACTTGAGTTTCTCGAAGGAGAAACAAAAGTGTCTGTTGTAGGCTTTTTTTTTTATCCAGTCTAAATGGATAGCACTGATTATGGTCGTCAGCATGTGGCATTGTGCGATTGATATTGCGTCATTTATTTTTAAGGCCATTTCGACTCTCGAGTGATGTCGGGATCAAAAAGCTTCAAAGGTGTGACTTCCAAGTCGCTTTTATTTCCTTAGCATCGCAACATGTGGCTTCTCGCGGTGTGTTTATAGTAGAAGCGTGCCTATATCACCGGTAGTTTCAAAATTCACTACCATTTGATTTCTGTACACTGATCATGATATCAAGAAGTATGGCCATATACCCAGTGGGTCTATAAAACTCGCTCGTGTAAACGACTCTCTTCGGCACGAGAAGCTACATTGGTTTGCGTTAAAACGATCAAGCGCGATAGAAAATTGGGCGAGTTGATGCAGCCACAAGGAAGTTAAAATGATACTGTTTAACCGTTACCAGCGCATTTTAGGACCATAGAGATTTAGCAGCTTTGGTTTTGCGTTTGCGTGCCTCCGCGTGTAACGAAACGCATTGGCTTGTGTCGTAAAAACACTCTCACTTTAAGTGAGATAAGAATTATATGAACACTCATGTTCATTTTTGCCATCGCCGTGATGTTTTGTATGCTACTTCTGTGTGCACTTAGTACAAGTACTGAGCATACGAAGAACTCGTTTAATCGTGTAATTCGCGCTCATTTATCAATATACAACATGGTGTGCTGTGGGATCCGAAACTTGTACTGCTAATGGCGTGCGGTTTGGCGTTTCAAAAATAATACTGTCGATAAACGCATTTAACAAAAAAATAGCATTACAAGATTATGACAAATAATTGTGACGGCAGCCTGCTCGCTAATATTGAGATTATTAAATCACCCGTGCTGCCAAGCTGTGTTAGAAACAATGACAAAAGCTAAAACCAGGTGATAGTTGATGGATTGTGGCACATCACTTCTAATTGGTTGTTAAGCTTCAAATGGGTTGTGTCGGCTGAGAATTGATTGGGCTGGGTAGCGCTCACTGATATGCAAATCACATGACGTGACACCTGCCGTGAGACGCTGTCCACTCATAACACAACGTGTACACCTGCTCAACTGCGCAACTGACGCTTATTGGCTAATTAAAGGTGGTGGTTTCTCACAATGACTACGAAGATGAATCGTGGCTGTGTCCTTTGTGATAGTATGGCAATAGAGTTGTTTTCTCTCCCCCCTCTTACTCCCCACACGGCGTTATATGCACTGTTTTCAACTATATTGACTCTAACGTGTTACCATCGCGCAATAGGACACCTCTAACGAGCCATGTTTTTTTATTTCTAATCAGCTTCCATGCAGTATCTTGGTTCAATCTAATAAAACCGAAAGACAATGAAACTACGAACGGAATCCGCGGTTTGCCCTGACGTCTCTGAAAGAGACCGGTTGGAACATCGATATGAAGGGATTGTGCACCTGACTGCACTCAAAGCATAGCTGTTATGAAAAAAATTATTGATAAGTTAAATAATACCAAAATTGTGAAAACACGCGAAACATGTGATCTGAAGAATCTGGGAATGATTAATAATGCGAAGAATTTTGTTCATGTCAGTCAGCATTTTTCCTATATTACCGATTGCTTTATAAACTGTACGAGCAACGACGCAGCAGTGTACTGAAGAGTTTCCACTGACCATAAGCCGTTTTTTTTTTTTTGATAGTGAATGTTTATCCAACCAATTCAGTTCTTCTGAAAATTTGATACGGGAAGCACTTTTACTGTATATGTAGAAAAAAAGTGTTCCGTCTTTTCTGCTTCTTCAATGTATAGCACAGTTATTTCTTAGTTATCCTCTATACTGCAAGTTCTTGATGCAGGTACTTTGTTAACCTTTCTCTCTCTCTTTCTCCCTTTCTCTAACGTTGCAGAGAAGCCCAGCCAACTTCGAGATTGCAGCGTGAGCAACCAGTCGGACGAGCGGCTTCTCGTCTCGTGCAGGCAGCCAGAACAGCGCCGACTGGGGCAGAAATTTGTGCTCGAGGTTCACAGTTCCGCACCGGCGCAACAGTCGCCGCTGCCGAAGCCAGCCCCCTCGAACCTGTCCAGCGAGCGACCCGTGTTCTGGATCCCGAGCTTGGAGCCCGGCGCTGCCTGCCGGCTCGTGTTGTACGCTGTGAGCGCCGGCGGCACCAGGGGACCCGAGGTTCGGCTGTCGCTTCACGCCGACCCATACACGGCGCCGCTGGCCTCCGCAGGTGCGCGTGATTGATTGAGCGATCCTTGAAAGGAGGGAAGAAAGCGCCTAATTTCTGTCCGCCTCTAGGGCGACAAGGCGCAGTGCCTTGCGAATGAGTGAGCGAGAACGCAGAGTGTCATACAAATCATTGCCTCCTCCAAAAAAGATCCGGCCTGTGACGTTACACGCTTTCCCGTCGGGACGGGAGGTTCCTCGCAGTTCGTTGCTTTTCCCGCGAGGAACGCTCGCATCCAACACTCCCGCTAGATTTGAAAGTGACGGGGCGACAAGGCCATGCGAATGAGTGGGCGAGAACGCAGAGTGTCATACAAATCATTGCCTCCTTCAAAAAGATCCGGCCTGTCACGTCGCACGCTTTCCCATAGGGACGGGAGGTCCCGCGCAGTTCAATGTTTTTCCCGCGAGGAACGCTCGCATCCAACACTCCCGCTAGATTTGGAAGTGACGCCATTGCAGTCGGCTGCGCGGCCACTTCGGCGAGCACTGCCTCCGGGACGGCAGTACACATTGCTTCAATCTCTGATGCTTGGACGTTTAAAGCAGCTGCTGCAGTGAGCGCTCGCAGTCGACACTGTTTCCTATTAACACTTTGGTGGAGCGGAAACGGACAGAGCAGGATAGCGCTGGGAACCGTCTCATCGTCTCACGTCGTAGGCATCTATTGATGAAGTCTTCTCTGGAGGGAACTCTGGCGCCATAGGAATGACGTATTCCATAGTGCTCGCTACGCACCGCGCTCGGAGGCAGCTTTAGAGCTGCTGTGCCAATCGTCACGGGATCATATAGAGGGCGGGGGTGAGCTTTGGGCTGGGCGGAGCTTGCACGCCGCGACTTCACTATACAAGCGCCTCAATATGTTGATGGCACCTACCGCTGTTTACAAACAGGGAATAAGTCTATATGGTATACTGACAGAACACCTACCAGTTTATAGTAGTATAGTATAGTGGTATAATATAGTATAGTATAGTATAGTATAGTATAGCATAGTATAGTATAGTATAGTGGTATAGTATACATGGATTTGTCTAATCTTCGTACTCGCGACTTCAAACGTACTTGTGGCTTCGTTTATTGTTGTGTTTTTGCTTTTATTTTCGATAAGAGAATGGATCGTGGGAACTTCGTGAGCCGATCTGAAATGGTGAGTCTGAAAAGGTCCAAGTGGTGAAGTAAAACCACAGATTATTTGCTGAATTTTGTTTTGTGGCAAATCGGCTGCGGGCTACACAGAAGCAAACGATGCCGAAAGAACAAAGGTTGGACAAATACATGTACTAGCACCCATTCCTAAACTGACTGAAGCGTCGTGCGTTGCAGCTCCCATAGACCCTAGCGCTAGATTTTCCTCTAGTGCAAGGTTTGGAAACTCTATTGACATCGAAGGTTCGTCTAAATCATGCTCCTTTGTGTGTAAATGCTGCGTGACTTTCACAGATCTTTACGTTTCAGCAATGCATGACTTGCTAATTCTTTTCTGTTGTACCATGAAAAGTTAGAAGAGACTGCCATTTAGTCATGTTGTCTTTTTATCAAGCGACACTGTAGTTGTAAACTAGGATCACCGAGGCAAAAATGGCTGTACCAACCGTCGAAAATGAACTACAGTGAGGATAAACGTGAAAAAAAAAAAGGCTATGTTATAATCATAGGATAAATAGGTTATGGCTTAGTTCATACATTGCCTAGTATGCATACACATGAGTACTATACATGGAGCTTCATCTAATCTGTGCCTTTTACAATTTCACGCACTTGAAAAAAAAAGCAAGAAAGTTTGAAGAGCGCAGCTAGCATAAATCAAATAATCCAACGTTGGCGAACGAGATTAAAAACGCTTCCATGAAAGTACTAGGCTGGCTAGCAGTTTTGCTTTCAGTTTTAAGTGCTTCTCTCTTAAATTTGGTTGATTACTATTTTAAACGCTTACTAAGCAATTTTTGTTAATTACCCGGTTTAGCAAATTGACAGTTATTTGCGGGTGAATGAAATAAGTCGACGCTTCAGCAGAAGTGTACAAATTTTTATTGAAGATAGCTCACTGAAGATTTCAATCAGAGAGTTAATAAACTAATATTTGTCAGTTTTAATAATTACCAGCCTGACGGACTGAAAGATATATATTTGGCGCTGCTGGGCCAATTTGGCATGCGCAGTGCATGTGCTTGTTTTTTTTTTTATAGTTGGTGCAAGGCAGCTGAAAGACCCTTTATGTAAGAACATGCCAACGAACAGTTATAATTTATTGTAAACATATATTTTATTTTTCTATAGTCATCAAAGAAGAACGTTAAAAAATAAGAACTAAAATGAGAATTTTGGGGCGATCAGACCACAGCCTACGCTATACACGCTAAACAACGGTAGTGCATCCCACCAATAAAGCAGAAAAGATTGGCGCGATTTCATGCGAACTTGCACCAAGTGAGGCATTCAGCAAATTCAAGATCGGTCGTTAAAAGACGCCGTATCAGATTTATTTTCCTAGTGAGTACTGGCCTGACTACCATTTCAGTCTCAGTATAACGCGATGGCTTTGCGTTTCCTTAACATGCTTAATTAAACCAGTGAAAACGACTCGGAGCGGCTAAAGAGCGTCAGTGTGGTGCATCTCAGCCCGCCTGTTGTAGTAGCGCGATGTTCCAGCATTATGTTTGCACCAGAGCTATCGACAACAGCTTTAAGCATCGCATTAGCAGATCTGTGTGAATCTAGTTAGCTATAGTAGTTTTTTTTTTATGAATTCCACTCTGATATCAGTTTGATTGTGCAATTGTTAACCGTTTATTCCTCACCTTATTCCCTCTATTGCAGTTCTAAAGTTTTGCATTTGGATAATGACGTTGAGTTTAAAAAAAATGCATTTAATCCACGCTTTCTTCGCAATGCCGCTTCCATAGGAACGTTGTAACTAAAATGTTTTGGTAAGGGAGCATTATTTTTAAGCTGTTTCAGCATTTGACGCGACACATAATTTTCACAATCTCACGTCTCTCTTAAAGATACGGCGAGATACACTGCTGGTTCAATGGAAAACTGCCTTCCTTTCAGACAAAAAACGAAGCGGCGTCGCATCGAAAAGCATCGGGGCTCGTTCAAGTTGTCCTGCCGCTCATCTCGCTTCTGCTCACGCCCGGTCGGTGACGTCAGCGACAACGAGCGAAGGCAGGTGGATATCGACTCGGGGAAGTCATCCGAAAGCACCCACGGCCTTCGAACGAGCACGGCTGATGACACACTCGCAGAAAACCGTCGTCATCCCCGCTGCGCGTGTCCGTCGCACTCTCCAGCACCGCACGGCACAGCGACTAATGAACGAGGCATCGCCCGTGCTTGAGAGAACAACACTACGATGCCTCTTAGGCGCCGGAGCTTGCTCCGCGCCTATACCATCTCGTCGTTCGCGGCGCTTCTTGTGAACATTGCGAGTGAGGACTTCGACCAGCGTGCCCTTTCTGGCAGCGTTGTTTAAGGCTGGTGCACACCGGCGAGTAGCAGCGGTCGCGCGACCATTTGTGACTGGCGACCAAAACGCGACTGATGTTCACACCACGGAGGAAGATCCGTGTGTTCACACCGGCAGAGGCTGCGTGCTAGCGACCGGAAGTCGCAATATCGGAGAGTCACGTCCGGATCTCGTTATCAACGAGAACTCTGGAGACCAGCGCCGATCAGCTGATGGCCGCCAGCTGAGTGAACGGAGCAAACCGAGCACGCCGAATTTCTTGTTTTTATCCGTTCTCGCCGGCGCAATGAAGAAACAAACAACAAAAATTGAGCATCTCTTATTGGTTTCAGCAGCTTTGCGACCGCAGTCGCGCCACTGGAAAATCGGTCAGGAAGCGACGAGCCAAAGCAGTCGCTTTGCGACCGTTCGCGACTGTTTGCGACCAGTCGCAAATGGTCGTGCGACTGCAGCTAGTCGCCGGTGTGCACCAGCCTTTACTCTATGAGACTTCACGTGTGGCCTATACAGTAATCAGTTCAATCATGAACGAGTGATGTGATTCATGCGGTTATTTTCGAACTGTTACTTCTTCACGATTACGTGTGTACCGCTGTTTCGGTGTTGAACAAACAAGTCTGGTCTGTTGTTTTCACGCGGATTTTTTTTTTCTCCGAGTGACAGTAACCCCCGTATTCTAGAACGTCCCTTCACTCAACGCTTCAACTTCACTTGAAAAAGCCGATGGAAGCGCCCTCTCTAGGCACGGCAAGTCACTGCATATCAGCGATAATGTGGTGCGACTCTCGAGCAGTGCAGCGTGATTTTCAGCCGAGCAGCGGCGCAGATCTCAACTCTGTGAAGCGAAGGGTGAAAGTCGAGTCGAGAAGCGTTTGCGAATACGGGGGCAAGTGTGTTAGCGCCAGAAGTTTAGGAAGCTTTAGACATAAGAAAAGGCTGAATACCAGTATTACTCGCCTATAACCGGCAGCCACCACCCTTCGCACACCAAAAAAAAAAAAAAACAGAAAGACAGGAAAATGCGCTTACAAAAGTGGGGTTGTTATATGCTGGGGTTAAATGCATTTTCTATAGTGTTCAATTCAGGAGGGCGGGCTAAATGTGGGCTTGGGTTATATGCGAGAGAATACGGTAAAGACGCTGCTTCGGCAGAGAGCCTCGAATCTATATTTCAGGCGTGTTATATAATGAAACGCGCTGACATAAGTGTATACGGCGATGTTCGGCTGGGCATCGTAAACATTGCTGAGAAATTGAAAGTTTTCTCGAAGCTAGTCACCTTTAAACTTTCGGCGCCGACCACGCGTTGTCATTCGCCAAGCACAGATACGACAAACGCCGGAAAAAGAAAAACAAACAAAAAGAGAATTGAGCAAGCGCACTACTTCTGCTCTTCATATCACCCCTTTCCGCAGCACAGGGTAGCCAGCCGGTCTAAGAACTGGCTAACCTCCTTGTCCTTCCGCTTAAAGTTTCCTGCTCCTCCGTTCTTATTTTCACAAAAACTTTTCACAACACTTGCACATAGATGTCGGAAGTGTCTGAG